TTTTTTTTTTAATCAATTCAACGAAAATTTTAATCAATTTAATCAACGAAAATGATCTAATAATTTAATTGTAATACAAAGGTGTACATGCTTTTACCTTCTCTGTTTTAAAAATATTTTTTCTTTTGCCTATTCTATTTTTTCTTCATAATAACAAAACAGAAGTGGATTGATTATTTATTACGATTACAGATGTCGTCTAACGACATTTTTTTTTTTTTTTTCATTAGTAGTAAAATCACTTCTTTCCGTGACTATTTTTTTCGACATAACGTCAATTGTCTCTTTTACTGCAGTTTCGCTGTGATTTACGCTTCACGCTCTTCGATTATTTTTAAAATTCTCTCACAATAATACAATCAGCTTTTTAATTTTATTTTTCAAGAAAATCCGCTTCTGCAGATTTTTTTCAAGACGCTATTAAAATTCACCGACGGATCTCTTGAAAGTATCTTGTTCTCTGCTTTCTATTGCTCTTTTTCCTTTGCCGTTCAAAAGAACTTTCAACGTGCGTTCTCCAAAACTTTCTGTCCGCGTTTTCGTCTTATGGCTACGTTTCTACACTTCTCTTCGTTCTTTAGTGCCTTGATCCAGGCGAGACGCATTTCGCTACTGCATCCTTTTCCCATCCTCATCGCGAAAATCTTTACGACGTTTCGCAGCGACCGCTTTCGCAGTTTATCCACTATCGAGACCCGCGCGACGTTGCATCCTTCGGATCTTCCACCCTCGCTGTCGCCTTCGGCCTTTTTATGCGATGGTGGTGTCACAAGGCCCGCATACTTTTCTTCATTCCCGAGGGCTACGGCGAATGTTCCACGGAACTGGTTTAACGACCAGGGCGGGCATGAATAAGGCGATTTTTGTTGATGTCGTCGACGTTATTACTTGGCGCGCGTATAAAGCTACCGGATGGGAAATTCTGCATTCGAATTATCATCACTCCGCTAAGCAGACGGGAAACGAGATCGAACGAAGGGATAAGACGTCGTTATCGGCTAGCGTTTCCGTTCCAACTAGCCTCGAGTCTTCTGCTCGACATGATACACACCGACAATATTTCTCGGATCGCCGAGTTTAAACTCGTAATTAATTTAAAGGAAATATTTATTTATTTCTATTTATTAATTTATTTTGTTTTTCTTTTCTTTGGTTTTTGTCATTTTCTTATTTTCATTGAAAATGACAAAAAGATTCGTAATTATAATATATAATTATAATATATAATTATGATATATAATTATAATAATTCACGAATTATTACGAATTACGAATATAAGTCTCTCTCTCTCTCTCTCACACACACACACACACACACACACACACACACACACACACACACACACACACACACACACTACACT